CAGTCCTACCCCAGGCCCCGTGCCCAAGCGTCCATACGCCCGGTTGGCTCTCAGGAAGCGAAGTAGGAACTTTGCATGGAGTAGAGCCGATCGATGGGGTTCCCCACACGGGCCTGCAGGGAGCCCACATCTGAGGAGCCGAGGAAGCAGTCGCTGAGGCTGGTTAAGGAGGTATCACTGTCGATGTCATGGAAGATGGAGTCGTTCCCTGGGGGGCAGAAGGGGTGTCAGGACCAGGGTGCAGGTTGGGGCTCCTTGGGGCCCTGTCAGCCCTGCAGGCTGTGTGACTAGAGGCCAGGGGAGACGGAATGGCCCACCGGCCAGTGCCTGCCCAGAGGAGCTGGGGCCCTTCCTGTCAGGAGGAGGCAGGTGGGCTATGCTGGCTGGGCCTGCCTGGGCCTGGGGCCTGGGTGGCTGTCATGGCCCAGGCCTGCCGGGCCAGGCAGGGGACAGGAGCCATATTAGGGGTGAAGGTTGGGGGTGGGCGGCTTACCATAGGGGTTCATGTGGTCACCTGGCATTTGGGGCGGCGTGAGGCCCTGCTGAAAGGGGTCGCTGCTGCCGTAGGGGCTCTGCTCCATGGCCACGATCTGCTGCTGCGGCGGGGCCAGTGGTGTGTAGGAGGCCATCATGCCCTCCATGCGGCTCGACAGGACCTCTGGGAGCAGAACACACCTTCACTGACTGGCCCTGCCTGGCCTGGCCTGGCAGCTCCCACTTCTGACCTCCTCAGGTCACCCCAGGGACCCCTCACTGGCTAAGGTTGCCCAGGTAGCTGACTCCTGGATCCCTTCCCCAGACACACTCCAACTCCTCTTCCAGAATGCTAACCAAAAGCCCACGAGTCCCTCCCTCCCCACCCTTTCCTTCCACCACCTGCCCTCCAGGAGCCCAGGGAAGGCAGCAGACAGAGAGTCCTCGTGTGGGGGCCATGCATGCCCTGTGTCTGGGAGTATCAAGGTCCCAAATCCAGGCCAAAAACACCCAGGGGAAGCCTCATGGATGAAAGGGCCCCACTCCAGTGGGACCAGCAGGGGCTCGACGGCAGCAAGGGGCACGCCAGGCTGAGGAGAGAAACTACCCAGCGTGCTCAGAGAAGGGCGGGGGTGTTGGAAAGTGAGATGGCCAGTATGGGAGACAGCTGAGAGGGGGACAGCCATCATGGAGGACCTCTGGTGTCGAGCTGGGTGGGGCTGCCCCGAGGAGCCAGCGGAAGATCTTAGCAGGGGTGGGTGAGAAAGGCTAGAGGGCAGAACCCTGAGGCCGGGCCAGCGGGCAGAGAGTCAGGGGAGGAGAGGGGTCTCTGGCAAGGTGGCTTTGGGAGAGCCAACTCCTAGGAGGGTGCATGAGGGATCTAGGACAAGACACCATGCCCCAACTTGGTGACTGAGTGGAGGCAGTGCAGAGGACAGGAAGGGTTAGAGGTGACTCGGGTTCCTGGCTTGGGCGACAGATGGACAGTGGTGTATTTGCAGAGATGGGGTGGAGAGGAGCAGGGCGTGCCATGTGTATGTGGGCAGGAAGGGCTGTGCAGTGTGGGCTGTCATGAGTTGGGGGGCCTGTGGGACATCCTCAGAGAGGCTGTGCCCAGGAGTACCTGGAAGCATCAGAGAATGAGACACAGCCCAGGGCCTGGCCGGGAGTCTCGAGGCTGTGAATACAGCCCCAGGAGTGGCAGCAGGGAGGAGAGAAAGAATCAGGCTGGCTCTGATGCCGTGTCCCTAGAAGACCTGAGCCCAGCCTGGGAAGCTGGCCTGGACTCCAGAGTCCTGAGTAGAAGGGGCTGCCCAGCAGTACCCTCACACCTACCCCAAAACCCCCTCCCCCTGGGAGCAGGCAGCACTGTCCACTCCTGCCCCTGCCACTTCAGCTCTCCCAGGGAGCCCCCACACCTCCCTTCATGGTCTTGAAGGCTCAGTGTCCCTGTGGGGCCCAGAAGACCAGCCTTGGCCCAAAATTCTGATGTGGAAATGGCAATTTGGGCTAAGCCCAGTGTTGGGAATGCCTGACCCCCGCCCCTTAAACTGGCCCCTCACCACTCAGCAGGACTCCTCAACACCCTGACAAGCTCTGTCTGGAGACTTCCACTGAATTCTAGTGGCAGGGTAATATCATCCTATTAATAGCACAGGCTCGGGGCTGAGGTCCGGCTTTGCACCTTACTGGCTGACAGATCCCAGGCAAGTCCCTCAGTCTCCTCATCTGTGAAATGAGACATGGCAACACCCTTCCTTGCAGGGATCCGTGAGGACTGAATGAAATGTGCTGAATGCTGAGAACCATGCCTGGCACACAGTGAGAGTGAGTCGATGGTTGCTGTTTGGATTGCAGAAACTGTCACCATTCCAGGTTGCCCACCCTGCCACCTCGCCTCCCTGTGTTCCCTGGTCCCATCGCTTCTCCACTCCTCTGTGTCTCAGCTGGTTTTAAGGCAGAGGTTCTTTGGGCTCTGAAGGCCTTAGTGGAAGGCTTCCTAGGAGTCTTGCTAAAAGAGACATCTGAGGCCCCTCTGTCTCTGGCTCTAGGACAGGCTCAGTCGTGCCCCAGCCCTAGCTCACCCTGGCCCAGCCGCTGGGAGTTCTGCTGTTCCTGCTGCTGCTGGTGTCGCCGTGCCAGCTTCTTCATCTGTGGGGAGAATACAATTCAGACTGGTCTCCCTTCCCGCCCCAATCCATG